CCTGCTTTGGTGACTCTAGATAACCTCGGGCTGATCCCACGCCCCCGTGGCGGCGATTACACATTCGGACGTCTGCCCTGTCAACTTTCAATAAGAGAGTTAATAACAGCAGGAAAGTACCATCGAATGTTGATAGGGCAGACGTTCGAATGCGTCGTCGCCGCATTCGTTGGCGCTAATTCACTTGCTTCACTATTTGACAAATATTTATTTTGTTCTTTTGTTCCTTAGAAACCGCCCCTCTCCTTTTCCATCAGGAATCGTTCCTTTTAACACTGTTGGTGGGATTTTGTTCTATGGTTTTGAGTTTCTGTTCATCTTCTCCTTTTCGATCCCATAGCGCACGGATGCGAAGAAAACGTTTCCCGGAAAAAGCGGTCCCTGTCATTTCAACTTGAGATGCAGAAGAAAGGTAAGATGAAACAAGGTTCTCCATTGTGATTCTAGGAACACAGTTGCTCCAATTTAAACAAAGAAATTTACTGGGGAGAGGCAGAATTGTTGTTATTGTTAGTTGCAAAGTCGTGTCCGACCCATCGCAACCACATGGACAACGTTCCTCCAGTCCTTCCTGTCCTCTACCATCTTCTGGAGTCCATTTAAGCTCACGCCTACTGCTTCAGTGACTCCATCCAGCCACCTCATTCTCCGTCGTCCCATTCTTCTCTTGCCCTCAATCTTTCTCAGCATCAGGCTCTTCTCCAGTGAGTCCTTCCTTCTCATTAGGTGGCCAAAGTACTTGCGTTTCAACTTCAGGATCTGGCCTTCTCAAGAGCAGTCGGGGTTGATCTCCTCCAGGACTGACTGGTTTGATCGCCTTGCAGTCCAGGGGACTCGCAGGAGTCTTCTCCAGCACCATAGTTCAAATGCCTCAATTCTTTTGCGCTCAGCCTTTCTTATGGTCCAACTTTCACAGCCATACATTGCAACTGGGAAAACCAGAGGCAGAATAGCAATAGCATTTAGGCTTATATACCGTCCTATAGCACTTTACAACATTCTGTGGGTGGTTTACAATATAGAAGCATTATTTGCATATTGCCCCCCAACAATCTGGGTCTTCATTTTACTGATCTCAGAAGGATGGAAGGCTGAGTCAACCTTGAGCCCCATTAGGATCGAACTTCAGGCAGTGGGCAGAAGTTTGCTTGCAATACTGCACTTTAGCCACTGCTCCACCAAGGCTCGTATTTAATGCCTAGAGGTAGTCTTCATTTAACATCCATTCATTCAAAGAATGTTCAAAATTACAATGGTGCTAAATGATAAGGTGACCAACTTTTTTACAATGAAAAGGAGGACACAAATAAATTGAAGAAAAAAATATCGTAAAAGCTGGCCCGGCCCATGGAAGGTCAACCGCCCGCCACGCCCCCGCCCGCAGCCGCCACAGCAGCACTGCTGCCCCGCCGTGTAGAGCAGGCCCCGCGGCTTCCAAAGCACCAGCCGTGTTGGCTCCGGCCCCGGGGAGCAGCCCGCTGTTGACACACCCCGCCTGCAGCTGCCCTGCCAGCACCACCGCCCACCCTGCACAGTCCCATGTAGAGAGGGCCCCGCAGCTCCCACAGCACAGGGGGCAGCTGGCCACTGCCACCCCTCACACTCCTGCCCGCAGCACCCCCGCTGCCCCTGTCTCTTGCACCCACAGCCATTATTGCCCTAGCAGAGCTGAAGATCAAGAGAAACTTACCGCTCCAGTCTCCTCCAGGTATCTTTGGAACTAACTAGGAGATGGTGTAGTTGGGTAGCAGGGAGGGGTGCAAAGTTCCTGCCAATTCACCTTCGCTGCAGACAACTTGCATGTGCAAAGTTTGCCGGCCGGGTATTTTGGCGCGCTCAGCAGCAATTCCTATTGGCTTTCGAAAGCCAATAGGGGGAGTAGCACAACTCATGCAAAAGTTGAAAAAAAACCATCAAAAAAAGGTGCCGGAACGCCTTTCTGAGCGTTCTATGAGGGGAAAAAAGACCTGCAGATTAGTCTTCAAATATCGAAAAGGAGGATATGTAGGAGGACACTTTTTGAGGGAGGACAGAACTTACAAAAGGAGGACTGTCCTCCCTAAAGGAGGACGGTTGGTCACCTTATAAATGAGGAGACGTATGACCGGTCCTCGTTGTTATGGCTGTCGCAGCATTCCCCCTGGTCATATGACCGAGATTTGGGTGTTTGGCAACTGATTTGCAATTGTGACAGTCGCAACGTCCTACAGTCACATGATCGGAATTTGCAATCTTCATTCCAGCTTTCAACAAGCAAAGTCAATGAGGAAGCTAGTAGGAAGTCACAAATGGCGATCGGATGACATTGTGCCTAACAACAGCACCTGGAACGGCTGCAAAGGCTGGCGTATGTCGGTGCAACATATGATATTGCATGCAGACATTTAATTACTCAAACTAGTAACATCATCAGTGCTAGTAAGAAATGGAGATTTCTGTCAATTTATATAAACTGAGAGCTAATTCCACTCCTTACTAGCACTGATGATGTTACCTAGTTTGGGTAATGAAACGTCTGCAAGAAAATAAGCAAGCTCAGAGAACACCAAGGACCCATCATGTCATCCCTGAGCTACAAATATTCTCCTTTATTGATATGATATCGCACTTTATGACTGAAGTTGCCAGTCTCAATTACTGTCATTAAGACCACAGTAATTTATTTTCCAGTCATCTGTTTTGTGTCGCTTCCCCTCACCACACACACACAAAATACTGCAAAGGTATTAAGAAAACAACATCAAAACAGTTGCATGATATTTTTTTTAAATCAGCAGTAAGGAAGGAGCTACAGATATAGTCCTTGACTTATGACCACAACTGAGCCCAAAATTTCCACTGCTAAGCAAGGGAATTATTAAGTGAGTTTTGCCCCGTTTTACAACCTTCCCCCCCCCATAGTTGTTAAACAATTCACCGCAATTGTTAAATGAACCATTTGGTCGTTAAGTAAATCCCCCCCATTGATTTTGCTTGTCATAAGCTGGCAGGGAAGATTACAAATAGTGGGTCACATGACCCTGGGACAGCGCAACTGTCCTCAATACCTGCCAGTTGTCAACTGTCCAAATTCTGATCGTGTGACCGTGGGGATGCCCCCCCAACAGTTGTAAGTGTGAAAAACAATCATAAGTCACTTTTTTCAGTGACATTTTAACTTTGAATGGTCACTAAATGAACGGGTGTAAGTTGAGGACTACCTGTTTTTAATAATAGCTAAGAGACAAAGTTTAACGAAGAGAAGGACGAGGGGGGACATGATAGCAGTGTTCCAATATCTCAGGGGCTGCCACAAAGAAGAGGGAGTCAAGCTATTCTCCAAAGCGCCTGAAGGCAGGACAAGAAGCAATGGATGGAAACTAGTCAAGGAGAGAAGCAACCTAGAACTAAGGAGAAACTTCCTGACAGTTAGAATAATTAACCAGTGGAACAACCTGCCTCCAGAAGTGGTGAATGCTCCAACACTGGAAGTTTTTAAGAAGAGACTGGACAGCCATTTGTCCGAAATGGTATAGGGCAGTGGTTCTCAACCTGTGGGTCGGGACCCCATTTGGGGTCGATTGACCATTTCATGGGGATTGCCAAGCAAGGCTGTCCGTCATTTTTTTTGTCCATTTTTTTTGTCCGCCATTTTTTCCCCCCCTTTTCCGGCGGGTACCTTACCTCCCTTGGGCTGGGCCAGCTGGTGGTCGGCCTGCTCCGTCTCTGCCGCTTGCCAGCTACGCCTCGGCCGGTGCAGGGGGCGGAACCACGCATGCGCAGCGCTCCCGGGCAGGGAAAGTCCTCGACTTACGACCGGTTGGGTAGTCCTCGACTTATGGCCGGTTTAGTCCTCGACTTACGATCGGTTTAGTCCTCGACTTACGACCGGTTTAGTCCTCGACTTACGACCGGTTTAAGTCCTCGACTTACGACCGGTTTAGTCCTCGACTTACGACCGGTTGGGGTCGCGGCATTAAAAAGGTTGAGAACCACTGGTATAGGGTTTCCTGCCTGAGCAGGGGGTTGGACTAGATGACCTCCAAGGTCCCTTCCAACTTCACCATTATTATTATTATTTATTATTATTATTATTATTATTATTATTATTATTATTATTATTATTATTATTATTATTATTATTATTATTATTATTATTATTATTATTATTATCAGAGTGGACTTTTCCTTCATGGCTTCAGAAATGTTCCTAAGCTGCAGGGTTTCCGTTTCAAATCTCCTGAATTTTGTGTATTCTAAATCTCGTGGGCCTTCAACTTGCTTGACTATTGAAATCTCATGACATTTGGTCATCTTGCAGAATGTTGGCCACTTTGTTGATTTAGTCCTAGTGGACAATCACTTAAATATGAGCGAGCCATGCGCTGCAGCTGCCAAAAAAACCAACACAGTGCTAGGCTGCATTAACAGAGGGATAGAATCAAGATCACGTGAAGTGTTAAGGCCACACTTGGAATACTGCATCCAGTTTTGGTCACCAAGATGTAAAAAAGATGTTGAGACTCTAGAAAGAGTACAGAGAAGAGCAACAAAGATGATCAGGGGACTGGAGGCTAAAACATATAAGGAACGGTGGCTGGAATTAGGTATGTCTAGACCAGTGATGGCAAACCTTTTAGAGACCGAGTGCCCAAACTGCAACCCAAAACCCATTTATTTATCGCCGGGTGCCAGGTGGGCATGGCCCACTGGGTGGGCGTGGCTGTGGTGGTCATAGCAGACTGGGTGGGAGTGGCCAAGGTGGGCGTGATCATCTTGATGTTGCTCATGGGGAGGGACGCCTGTGGGGGCTGGGCAAGGTTGGGGGAGATCCAGGGGTTCTGTGGGGTGGTGGGCAGAAGGCTCATCCTGTGGGGTGAGGCGAGGCAGGGTGGAGGTGCCATTGTCACAAAGCAAGGTGTGGCAGGGGCGGCTGCTGCCTGACACCATCGACCCCTGCACACAGGCCAGCGAGCGCATGGGTGCTGGGATGCATCCGGCCATGTGGGACCTCGGCGAGTTAGTGGGCGGCTGGTTGAAGAGGGACGGTTGCCATCTCCAGGGCATGGCCTGTGTGCCCACAGAGAGAGCTCTGAGTGCCGTCTCTGGCACGCGTGCCATAGGTTTACCACCACTGGTCTAGACTCTAGTCTAATGAAGAGAAGGACGAGGGGCGTCATGATAGGAGTGTTCCAATATCTCAGGGGCTGCCACAAAGAAGAGGGAGTCAAGCTATTCTCCAAAGTGCCTGAAGGCAGGACAAGAAGCAACGGATGGAAACTAATCAAGGAGAGAAGCAACCTAGAACTAAGGAGAAACTTCCTGATAGGTAGAACAATTAACCAGTGGAACAACCTGCCTCCAGAAGCGGTAAATGCTCCAATACTGGAAGTTTTTAAGAAGAGACTGGACAGCCATTTGTCTGAAATGGTATAGGGTTTCCTACCTGAGCAGGGAGTTAGACTAGATGACCTCCAAGGTCCCTTCCAACTTAATAATATTATTATTATTATTATTATTATTATTATTATTATTATTATTATTATTATTATTATTATTATTATTGTTATCGTTATCATTATCATCATTATCATTATCATCATCATCATCATCATCATTATTATTATTATTATTATTATTATTATTATTTCAGTACATACATATAATTGATTGACTGAATATATGAATGTATGAATGATTTTGGTATCCTGAAGATACCATCTATACAAGACAGGTGCGTGTCTAAATATTGGCAAGCTTTGTGTTGCCAACCTTTGGGCTATGTAGTCCTCCTCAAAAGCTGCGTAATGATCTGATACAGTGTGTTTGTCATCCTTTGCCACTTTAAGATGGGTGGACTTCAACTCCCAGAATTCCCCAGCCAGCCTAGAATTCTGGGAGTTAACGTCTACCCATCCTAAAGTTGCAAAGGTTAAGAAACGCTGGCCTGATTTATCAGAAAGAAAAAAATTGGAAACTGCTGGGCTAGAGACTAATCGGAATTCTAAGACGGGAATGTTATCTTTACCTTTATTTATTTTGTTCCTGCATTTTATATCCACTATTATTTTATCTTCTTCTTCCCCCCCTTCTCTTCTGCAGTTGCCAAATACCGTACACCTGATCAAATTAAATGCTGCAAGGGAGGCATGGAGTTGCTTCGCAAAGCCCTGACATGCGATGAACGTGCCAAAAGGATTAAGAATATCCAGTGCCGTGAAGTCTTCCTTGACTGCTGCCGTTATGCTACCAAATTACGTCGCCAGTCCTGGGGGTCCCATGGTCTTGCAAGGGGTGAGTATGGTACCCTGAGCCAATTGAATAGGAAAAGAGAAAGGTTAGATGAGGAAAGGAAATCCTGATGTTTGAACATCAATTCCTGTCGGCCCCCAAAACAGGTTTTATAACAAAGAGTTCCAGCTTAAGTGTTCTTCCTCACGGCAGCCATAGTATCTTTTAAAGTTTAATGAAAATAAGGTCTAGGGGTGACATGGTAGCAGCGTTCCAATATCTCAGGGATTGCCACAAAGAAGAGGGAGACAACCTGTTCTCCAAAGCACCTGAGGGCAGAACAAGAAGCAACTAATCAAGGAGAGAAGCAACCTAGAATTAAGGAGAAATTTCCTGACAGTTAGAACAGTTAATCAGCGGAACAACCTGCCTCCAGAAGTTGTAAATGCTCCAACACTGGAAGTTTTTAAGAAGAGATTGGACCACCATTTGTCTGAAATGGTATTGGGTTTCCTGCCTGAGTAGGGGGTTGGACTAGAAGATCTCCAAGGTCCCTTCTATTCTATTCTATTCTATTCTATTCTATTCTATTCTATTCTATTCTATTCTATTCTATTCTATTCTATTCTATTTTCAGATTCCAAAAACCAAGAAAGAAACGTTATTCTTAAAAGCAGATTTATTTATTGTTCCTGACCCATAGGCAGAACCTTGCCAAATTAATAATAGTAGTAATAATAATAATAATAATAATAATAATAATAATAATAATAATAATAATAGTAATAATAACAACAACAACAATAATAGTAATAGTAATAATAATAAAGTTGGAAGGGACCTTGGAGGTTATCTGTCCAACCCCCTGCTCAGGCAGGAAACCCTATACTATTACAGACAAATGGCTGTCCAGTCTCTTCTTAAAAACCTCCAGTGTTGGCGCATTCACCACTTCTGGAGGCAGATTGTTCCACTGGTTAATTGTTCTAACTGTCAGGACATGTGCCATGTCCTGGATGGGAGGGAGGGAACAGCCAATGGTCTTTTCTGCCATCCTCACCATTCTCTGCACCGCCTTCCTGTCTGAAGCAGTGATGCTTCTAAACCAGACTGTGATGCTGTATGACAGGATGCTCTCGATCGTCCCTCTGTAGATCATTAAGAATAATCTTAACAATACATGTAGCATAAAAACCCACAATATTAAAGTAGTGATAAAACAGTGAAATTCCAGGGAGAACACAATTGTTAAAACATCTGAAGTTAGAGGCCTGAAAACCATTCCTCTAAGGCAGGGGTCCCCAACCCCGGTCCATGGACTGGTGCCGGGCCGCGTCCTGCCAGCAACCGGTCCGCACAAACAAGCAAAGCCCCATCTGTGAGATGCAGGCAGCACACAAAAGCATGCGCTCTCCGGTCCGCGGAAAAACCTTTCTCCCCGGAACCTTTCTCCCCTGGTGCCCAAAAGGTTGCGGGCCTCTGCTCTAAGGCAGGGGTCTCGAACCTTGGCAACTTGGAGACTTGTGGACTTCAACTCCCAGAATTCCACGGCTGGCTAAGGAATTCTGGGAGTTGAAGTCCACAAGCCGTAAAGCTGCCGAGATTGGAGAACCCTGTTTTCAGGTTTTTCGGAAAAGAGGAAACCTGTAATCTTTAGCCAGTGACTTTCTCTTTCTACGTATAGTCCAAGATGAAGATGAAGAAGAATTTCTTGATGATGAGGTTATCATATTGCGAAGATTTTTCCCTGAGAGCTGGCTCTGGCAAACCTTCACTGTGGATCAAACCCTCACGTGAGTAGAACAGAAATTCATTTACAAGTCACGTTTCCTTTCTTGCGATAGGATGAGCGCTTCATCCGTGTCAGATATTGGGGCTCCAGGGAACCTGAAACTAGGCTCTGAGCCATAATAATAATAATAATAATAATAATAATAATAATAATAATAATAATAATAATAATAATAATAATAATAATAATAATAATAATATAGTAATAATAGTAATAATAATAATAATAATAAAGTTGGAAGGGACCTTGGAGGTCATCTAGTCCAACCCCCTGCTCAGGCAGGAAACCCTATACCAGGGGTGTCAAACTCAATTTCATTGAGGGCCGCATCAGCATTGCGGTTGCTCTCAGGGGGCGGGTGGGTGTGGCCAGGTTGGGTGCGGCCTACTGGGTGGCCATGGATGGAGTGGGTGTGGCCTACTGGGTGGGCGTGGCCAGCTCTACATCATTCACATCAAGGGTGCCTATGGGGGCCTGGGAAGGAGTGGGATAGATCTGAGGGTCTCTGGCAGAAGGAGGTGGGACCGGGGCAAGTGCCAAGGCATGGTCCACTGGAGGAGCCTCACTGTTCCTCTCAGGCCATGCCGGGGGGGGGGGCTTATGGAGCTAAGACTGAATGCGTTTCAGCATAGATGGCCACCACAAAATTGTACATGGACTACCGGCCGGCCTGGGCCAGGGCCAAGGCAGAGGCGGCCGTTCCCTCACTGTTTCCAGGATGGCTTCGCGGGCCACATGAAACCACTTCGCGGGCCGCATCCGGCCCCCGGGCCTTGTGTTTGACATGTCTGCCCTATACCATTTCAGACAAACATTTGACAGTAGTCCTGGACATACAACAGTTCATTTAATGACCATTCAAAGTTACATCGGCCCTGAAAAAAGTGACTTATGGATGCTTTTGACACTTACAACCGTGGCGGCATCCCCATGCTCTTGTGATTAAAATTCAGACACTTAGCAACTGACTCATATTTATGACAGGTGCCGTGTCCCCGGGTCACGTGATCAGCTCTTGCGACCTTCTGACTAGCAGAGTTCCTGGGGAAGCCACATTCGCTTAACAACGGCGTTACTAACTTAACAGCTGCTGTGATTCACTTAACAACGGTGGCAAGAAAGGTCATAAAATGGGGGGAAAACTCACTTAACAACCGTCTTGCTTAGCAACAGAAATTTTGACCTCGATTGTGGTCGTAAGACGTGGACTACCTCTGAAGGGGTCTCGGGGGTCTGGGATGAGGGATTAATAATGCAAGGGTGAACAGTCTTAACGATGACCAGTGGCTGCATTAAATATTTTGAAGAGTTTGGTGGAAATGTCTGTGATACAGAAAGATGAAGAAAGCTGCTTCTTGATCTTTTTCAGAGAACACTTTCATCTTCCCGATTCCATCACCACGTGGGAAATACAAGCGGTTAGCATGTCTTCTGAGAAAGGTAAACATTGATGATTTCTGCCTGTTCAGGAACCAGACACCGATAAACTTTGCCTCTCAAACATGTCGCTCAGGGATCTCCAAACCTAGCAACTTTTAAGAGTTGTGGACTTCAACTCCCAGAATTCCTCAGCCAGCCAGGAATTCTAGAACAGTGGTTCTCAACCTGTGGGTCGGGACCCCATTTGGGGTCGATCGACCATTTAACGGGGGTCGCCAAGCAAGGCTGTCTGCCATTTTTTTTGCCCGCCATTTTTTTGGTCCACCATTTTTTTTCCCCTTTTCCGGAGGGTGCCTTACCTCCCTTGGGCTGGGCCAGCTGGTGGTCGGCCTGCTCCGTCTCTGCCACTTGCCAGCTACGCCTCGGCCGGCGCAGGGGGCGGAACCACGCATGCGCGGCGCTCCCGGGCAGGGAAAGTCCTCGACTTACGACCGGTTGGGTAGTCCTCGACTTACGACCGGTTTAGTCCTCGACTTATGACCTGTTTAGTCCTCGACTTACGACCGGTTTAGTCCTCGACTTACGACCGGTTGGGGTCGCGGCATTAAAAAGGTTGAGAACCACTGTTCTAGAAGTTGAAATTCACTAGTCGTAAAGTTGCCAAGTCTGGAGATCCCTGTTCTAATCTCTTAATTCGCGAGACTTTGACCAAGCTAGCTAAGATTAATGGGAACTGCAATCCAATAGCTCTGGAGGCAGAATAACAGAATAATGGAAGGGACCTTGGAGGTCTTCTAGTTCAACGGCCTGCTCAAGCTGGAAACCCTATATCAGTGGTGGCGAACCTATGGCACGGGTGCCAGAGGCGGCACTCAGAGCCCTCTCTGTGGGCACGCGGGCCGTCGCCCCAGTCCTAGACCTTCAGCTGGGTTTTATAAAACCTTTTCGCTTTAGGCCTCCGCCGCCATGTTCAAAAAAAAGAAAAGGTTCAATCAGTCAATTTCAACTTCTTGCGGGGAAAAAAAAAGATCTTGCAAAGTTGGAATTGATTGATTGAACTTTTTAGTCCCATCCAGTCTGTGGTTACCACCGCAGCCACGTCCACCCAATGGGCCACGCCCACCCGGCACCCAACGATGCATAAGTGGGTTTTGGGTTGCAGTTTGGGCACTCAGTCTCTAAAAGGTTCGCCATCACTGCCCTATATCATTTCAGACAAACGGTTGTCCAATCTCTTCTTCTCCAGTGTTGCAGCACCCACTTGTGGCTAGAAAAGGTTGCTTCGATCTGTGTCTGTCTCCCCAGATGTATTGGGCTCCATCTCTCCTGTCCAGGTTGCCCTCGACTTACAACCATAATGAAATGTCTGAAATGTATAGGATTTCCTGCTTGAGCAGGGGGTTGGACTGGAAGACCTCCAAGGTCCCTTCCAACTCTGTTATTCTGTTTAACATAATTTAAGGATCTGCCCTAACTGACTGTCTGGTTTGCCCAAGAGGAATGACACCATCCTAGTTCAGTTCTTTCCCCACAACATCACAGTGGCCCTTGAGCTGAGAGGGGAAGTTTCTGTGGTTTAGGGCAGGGGTCCCCAACCCCCAGGGGGCAGACCAGTACTACTCCGTGGTTTGTTGGGAAACCGGGCCACACAAGCAACAGACCAGCGAGTGAAGTTTCATCTGCGTATGCACAGGACCTAGGTCACATCTATGAAATCCCACACACCCCGCCTCCCCCCGGCATGTCCACGGAATACATTTTTTTCTTCTGAAGCCGATCCCTGGAGCCATAAATGTTGGGGACTGGTGGTTTAAAGTAAATCAAATGCAGATAGTCCTTGACTTATGACCACTTGCTTTGCAACTGTTTGAAGTTATGACCTACCTGAGAAAAGGAGACCGGGATCCGAAGTTCTGCACACCCACCCACTCACCCACACTGTCGTGTAACCACACTTCAGGATCTTGGCAACACAGACACATTTAGGGCTGTTGACGGCATCCCACTCTCACAGGCCTGCATTTTACAACAATTTGACTGTAAACTGTCAGTTACTTCTGGTTTCCGGCAAAACCAGGCCATAACAAACAAATAGGTCCACTTAACAATCATGCAGTTTGTTTTACAACTGATGCGTTTGCGTAACAGCTGCCTCAAAAAATATTTTTAAATCAGGTCAGTCAGGTTGTACAACCAATGGTGGGATTCAAATATGTGAACAACCGTTTCTCTGTGTGGATGCCATTTCCGGAAGTCCATTCTGGGCCTGGGCAACAAAAAATTAGCTACCGGTTCTACCGAACCGGCTGAATCCCACCACTGTGTACAACTATTATGACTTACCACTGCAATGGGCAGGCTCCATTACGGTCATAACTCGAGAGCTACCTGTGCTGGATTAAGATGAACTGGTAGCCCAATCCATCCTCAGGACCTTCTGAATTTTTTTCTCTGTTTCTACCTGTTTCAGGGTGTTCCCAGTCAAACGATGGCTTTTCAGTTCAATATTTAAACTTCCCGTACCATAATTCTTATGTTTCCTTTGCTCCGTGCCTTGCTTGTTTCTTTTTTGTTTAGCAATGGAGTTCCATTGTTGCACAGCGGCTTCTCTTTGCTAATGCTGAGTTCTTCCTGTGTTTTTAGGGATTTGTGTTTCAGAGCCTTTCAAAATTACAGTCTTCCAAGACTTCCACATTTCTCTCCGGCTGCCATACTCTGTGAAAAAGTTTGAACAGATAGAGCTTCGTCCAGTGTTATACAACTACCAGTCTGATCCACTCAGCGTAAGTGACGTGAAAATCCATACAATGATGAAAAAAATATTGCAAATTAATTTTTTGACTTAGGTCTTAAAAAATCAAAACCTTGTAATACATCTAATACAGTTTAATATTTGAACACATCTTGTTTCTCACTTTTTTTGACTTAGGTCTTAAAAAATCAAAACCTTGTAATACATCTAATACAGTTTAATATTTGAACACATCTTGTTTCTCATATTTTTGACTTAGGTCTTAGTATACTTGGAGCCAGCTGAAGGCATTTGTTCCCCAGCAACGCTTGGCCCAGCACGGAAACGGAAGGTGGAGGTGCCAGGGAACTCTGCAATTCCTATACCCTTCGTTCTGGTGCCCATGGGGGCGAGTGACATCCCCATCACCATTGTTGCTCTTGGTGAATGGGGGATAGGGGACAAGGTTTCCAAGAAATTGCGGGTCGAGGTAAGAAGCTTCAGTTACAGCCAACAGTGTCAAACCCACAAATGCTCCATAATTTCGCTCCAGATGCAAAATGGTATTAAAGCAGGATTTTTTTTAAAAAAAAAAACCTTCCAAAATCACAAAACTGTGTCTCATTTATTTCGGCCATGTCATGCTGGAGAAAGCAATTATGTTAGGAAGATTTAGCGGCGCCAAAAAACACGGTGTTTGGACACCATGAAAGCTGACACCAGCCAGAGCATAGAACAGTGATGGCGAACCTTTTAGAGACCGAGTGCCCAAAAACTGGCCCCACCCCTGCTCCACCCCATGCCCCGCCCCTGCTTCACCCCCGGCCCCGCTCCGCCCCACCCTGCCTGCCTGCAGGGCCACTCACTGCTTCCACGGCCTGCCGCAGATCGCCCAGGCAGCCCAGCAGCACCATGGCGGCCACACCCTCTGCCCACGCCCCGCAGCATCAACTTTGCGCATTGGGGTATGAGGGCAGAGTCTTGTCTATGCTGCCTGGCTGCCATGTCCTTAGCTGCGCTGCTCTGTGTGGGCAACGCTCGGGGTGACTCTCCTCCAGGGGCTGCTGGTGAGGAGGGGGGCGCAGGCAGAGGCAATGGCATGTGTGCCCACAGAGAGGGCTCCGAGTGCCACCTCTGGCACCCGTGCTATAGGTTCGCCACCACTAGCATAGAACAGCTCAGAGGAGCAGGGCAAGATCGGGAAATGCGGAGAGACCTGGCCCACAGAATCGCCAAGAGACGGGCAGGACTGAATGGGTAACATCATTATCATTATCATCATCATCATCATCATCATCATCATGATTGAGTATTCTCCAAGCTGAGGGTTAAACTTGCCTTTTGAATCGGGTGTTGCATGTTGCCAAAATCAGAGGGAGGAGGATCAGAAACGCCAAGGAAATCCTGGCTGATTCCACTCTTAATCATAGCTAAACATAGCAATTTCAAATGACAAAAGGCTTCGCAAATCCTGCTAAAACGCAAAATCACCAAATTTACACAGCAGTTTTATAGGGTTTTCCTGGATTAGAGACGAGGAGAGGCAAATATCCTGCAGCTTTTATGCAAAATGCTCCAGACAGATGACCACATTTGCTAGTTGTGCAGATATTTACTGCACCGACTTGGATCACGAATACTGTTCATCTTTTATCAGTTGATAATAATAGCTACATAATCATGCCACAGTAAAACTTGGAGCGGGAAGGGAAGTAGAAGGAACTAAAGATTACAATTAAAGGAGAATGTTCAAACTCCGTTTGCTTCTTTATATATTCATAAAGTTCTTTTCTTTTTCTTTATTATTTTTTCTTTCTTTTCTCTTTCTCGTTTTCTTTTTTCTTTTCTTTCTTAGCTGAACCTTCGACTTTGTCTTTTCATCCTTTTAGGGTTTTTTTTAGTTTGATAGTTGTTTTTTATTATTGTAATTACAATTCTTAATAAAAAAAATACTATTAGAAAAAAAAGAATCTGATGCTTAGCCGCAGCTGTTTCATTTCTTCTCCCTTTTCAGAAAGAGGGTGCCATCAGGATAGAAGAATATACCGTTCCTCTTGATAGTAAAGGTAAGACATTGTGTCTGAGGTAAAAATTGTATTTATTACTTCAGGAAATGGTTCTGCAAGAATTGGTGTTCACTACTCCAGAATAGCAATTAAGTCCTTCCAATATAGGTAGTCCTCGACTTACGACCACAATCGAGCCCAAAAGTTCCAGTGCTAAGTGCGATAGTTGTTAAGTGAGTCTTGCCCCCATTTTACAACCTTTCTTGCCACAGTTGTGAAGTGAATCCCTGCAGTTATTAAGTTAGTAATACGGTCGTTAAGAGAATCCAGCTTCCTCAATGACTTTGCTTGTCAGAAAGTCACAAAAGGGGATCACATGACCCCGGGCCACTGCAACCGTCATAAATAAGAGTCAGTTGCCAAGTATCCAAATTTTGATCACACAACCATAGAGATGCTGTTATAAGGCACTTTCGAATGAAGGCAAATAGACGTGTCCCAGGATAATGATGCAAGATCGAATTTGGTTCAGTCACCGGGACCAGATTTACTTTTCCGAGCTTTCAGACTCATGCTGTAGCCCAGTGGTTCTCAACCTTTTTAATGCCGCGACCCCCAACCGGTCGTAAGTCGAGGACTAAACCGGTTGTAAGTCGAGGACTAAACCGGTCGTAAGTCGAGGCTTACCCAACTGGTCGTAAGTCGAGGACTTTCCCTGCCCGGGAGCGCCGCGCATGTGTGGTTCCGCCCCCTGCGCCGGCCGAGGCATAGCTGGCAAGCGGCAGAGACGGAGCAGGCCGACCACCAGCTGGCCCAGCTCAAGGGAGGTAAGGCACCTGCCGGAAAAGGGAGGAAAAAATGGCAGACAGCCTTGCTTGGCGACCCCCGTGAAATGGTCGATCGACCCCAAATGGAGTCGCGACCCATAGGTTGAGAACCGCTGCTGTAGCCCATCTTGAGGGAATTTCTCTTTACTGGAATACATGCTGTTCTGTGAGTTGTGTTTACCTGGTGCTAATTGGTGTTTACCTATTGGCTGATTGGTGTGTTGATGGCTGGTGATTGGCTGTCATTTCCTTGTGCTGCCAAGCCCCCGGCTCCGTAGTATTTGATAAGCTGGTGGTAAATCAGCATGTCTGTTAACTGACAAGGGGCCTGTTTCCCAGGCTTCAATCCTTTCCCTGGCTCTCTTTGTACCTGCATGGCCAATGAACTTAAGTCGCTGTGAAATTAAATGTGTGTCCTTGTTCATTCCAATGTGAGGCTACCAATGAATTTGGATTTCCTCATCTGACTGCTCACTTGTATTCTTGCAAGAAGCTCACCGGTGGCCGAACCCAATTCAATCTCGCATAAGTCACTGTTTTCAGTGCTGTTGTAAATTTGAATGGTCACCAAATGAACTGTTGTAACTGTTGTTGCGTTTCCCATGAAGGCATCCTTAGAAAACAGGGGAGTCAATCTGCCGCAAGTTTTGAAAGATAGCTCAACCTGCTGGACTATCCATTTGCCTCTGCCCCAAGCCTATCTATCTTACACTATGATGGGTGGATGTTTTCCTATAGGCAGGGGATGTTTCCATGCGAGGGAAGGGGAGGAAAGCCAGAAGGCCCCTCCCTGTCTTTAACAAACTCTTTATGCCCAAAATAAGGAGAGCTTCATTGAACAGGATAAGGATTGAGAGTGGAAGTAGCAAATTTTAGTCCGATACTAGACAATTCCATGACCTGTTGGCTCATCCTTTCAGAAATATTTCCTTATCAGATTTCTGAATGCCTTCGACAATGACAGAATGTCTAATGTAATTTAAAAGTTCATAAAAATGCAGGTATTCATTCAGAGATGTATCCGCCTTAAAAACAGCCCATATTGAACTATTAGGCACAGTCAAACATGAACACAAGAAATCTTTTAGGACATTTTCTAGTATGTCTCCCTAAGCCAGGGGTAGGCAACCTTGGCCCTTTTATGACTCGTGGACTTCAACTCCCAGAATTCCTGAGCCAGCCATGCTGAGGGGAAAGGGAGAGGTTTCCAAGCTGAGCCATGCTGGCTCAGGAATTCTGGGAGCTGAAGTCCACGAGTCATAAAAGAACCAAGGTTGCCTACCCCTGCCCTAAGCCCTTTCATGATAACTTGTTATGACATAAAATGTTTTATAAAATCTGCCAAATTTCAATCCCCTGAAATTCATGGGACCCAGATTTTGGACGCATTCTGTAAATTAGCCCATTTGAAGTACCTTGGTTCACAGCGTTTTATCCCGTGGTGCACCATTTCACCCAGTTAACAATGGATAGATTAGAACAGAATGGAATTCTTTATTGGCCAAATATGATTGGACGCACAAGGAAACCAGAGTTTTCATAGTATATGCTTTCCGGAGCATGTTGACTGTTCTTTAACTTGGCTATAAGGAAGGCCTAATGGACTAGAAATGAAAAGTTAGACAGCCACTGGAAATTTCTTCTGGGTGGTCCTTCTATACCTGTTCCAACATCTGGCATGTCTGAATGAAGGATGGCATTTCTGAGGGAGGGAAGAAAGCTATCAGAGGCAAGACTTCTAAATGATTTGCGAGGGCTTTAGAAGACGCTACATTGGAGCAATATGGAGCTAATCTTTTGCCATCCTTTCTTTCGTTTGGGTTAGATGAACGCACCAGATCTACGAAGATTTCAGGTGAATTGCCATCCAACGCCATTCCTGATGGAGACTTCAAGATGAGCGTCCGTCTGACAGGTGAAGAGCAAATTTGAGGTTTTTGATGCCAAGAGTGCTTAGCTTCCTATTCACTACCAGGGCTGCAGTGGGGTCGTTTCAGATCAGCTTCCCCAACCAGGCCTTCTTAACAGAATAATAGCATAACAGACTTGGAAGGGACTTTGGAGGTCTTCTAGTCCAACCCCTGCTCAAGCAGAAAACCCTATGCCATTCCAGACATCTGGTGGTCCAGTCTCTTCTTAAAAACCTCCACTGTTGGAGCATTCGCAACTTCTGGAGGCTAGTCATTCCACTGATCAAGTTCTATCAGGAAATTTCTCCTTACCATAGCTTCTAGGTTGCTTCTCTCCTTGATCAATTTCCATTCATTGGTTCTTGTCCTGCTTTCAGTTGCTTTGGAAAATAGGTTGACCCCCTCTTTTTTGTGGTAGCCCCTTAGATATTGGAATACTGCTATCATGTCACCCTTAGCCCTCCTTTTCATTAAACTAGACATGCCCAATTCCTACAACCATTCTCTGTATGCTTTAGCCTCTGTATGCTTTAGTTTGTTGCTCTTCAAACATATTGGCCTATGTCTGTCCATTATCTGCAGTCAGCCTGGTCGATCATACTTGCTTGGGAATATTGGGGGGAATAATTCCACATAGCTGCAGGATACAAGAGCGGGGGAAGCTGATTTAGCTTTTGGTGGAGATTTTGCCTGAAGTTGTTACTTAGATATTTTTTAGATGCTGACATATATTATTCTACTGGTTTCAAAATGAAATAGCAAACATCGCTGTATTTTGCTTATTTTTACTGAACAGACTCTGATCCGACTTTGCTGGCTCAGCACTGCATATTGTGGCAAAATGAGCTGGAAATAAATTTAATGAATAAATAAAAATATTATCTGTGAAAAAGAGGTGACAGTTTATAGCCCGGTCCTCAAGTTGATACACCTGGCAATTCAATCTAATATTAGGAGTGAAGCTAAGAAGAAGCTTTCATTGGACTTGTCAGGATTTCATTACAGGTAGTCCTCGACTTAGGACGACCACAATTAGCCCATTGCTAAGTGACACGGTCATAAAGTGAGTCATGCCCAATGAAGACATTTTTTGCTACATTGAGTTAAGTGAATCCAGATTCCTCCACTGACTTTACTTGTCGGAAGTCAACTGGGAGGGTTGCAAATGGCAACCACACAATCCCAGGGTCAGTGCAGCTGTCATAAGTACAGGTCAGTTGCCAAGTGTCTGAACCGCAATCGGGTAACCATTTGTTCATCTTCACACAGGATCAGTTCCTGCTGACACCCTTCAGAGTTCTCTGGATCCTGATGGCATCTCCTCCCTGCTGCGGGTGCCAAACGGATGTGCGGAACAGACCATGATATTGATGGCCCCTGCAGTCTATGCCATGCAGTACTTGGACCAGACAGAACAGTGGCTCAATCTGAAACCGGAAAGCAAAGAGGTTGCCTTAGCAAATCTCCGCACAGGTAGATATGACACCCAAGGGGAATAGGCTGTATGATCCTTAGTAATAAGAACATTGGAGGGGATACCCTTTATCAGCCATATCAGCTGATAAATCAAAAAGGAACACCGGCGTTGATTGATTAGGGTCTGTATCATCACCCTACTGGCTTTCTCTGGAACCGGGGTCTCCAAACTTGGCAACTTGAAGACTTGTGGACTTCAGAATTCCCATGCTGGCTAGGGAATTCTGGGAGTTGAAGTCCACAAATCTTAAAGTTGCCAGGTTTGGAGACTCCTGATCAGCAATGATCAGCTGATAATATTCTCCTCAATCAACAATTCTCTGTTTAATGTTCCACTCAGTGAACGAGAGTACAGATAGAAAACCTGTCTTTCTCCTTCTCAAAAAGCACCATTAAGTTTGTCTCTCTTTCATTGTTTGCATTGGCAGGCTATGCTAGAATCCTCACCTATCGGAAAAATGATGGATCTTATGGAGCTTGGATCCACACCCCCAGCAGCACCTGGTAAGAACCAGCCCTGCAGAAAAGGTTGGGTGTCAGCCACAGGGAAGAGAGGAGTGACCTTGAATGGGGATCATAGAGTTGGGAGACACCATAGAGATCTAATCCTATCTGTGCTTAGGGTGGAATGCACTAGCTCAGGGGTAATCAACCTTGGCTCTTTTATGACTCGTGGACTTCAACTCCCAGAATTCCTGAGCCAGCATGGCTGGCTCAGGAATTCTGGGAGTTGAAGTCCACGAGTCATAAAAGAGCCAAGGTTGACTACCCCTGCACTAGCCCCTCTCTGACAGATGACAGTGTGAAGATCTCTAATAAAGAGAAAGTCACCATGTCATATGGCTGCCTGTTCCGCTGAGTGACAGCTCTGTTTTGCCAAGGGTCAGGGCAGTGATCAGGTGCCAGGCAACTGGTTCTTTCGGATCCAGAGACATTGAACTGTCCAGCAAATAGCAATAGCACTTAGACTTATATACCATTTCACAGTGCTTTTACAGCCCCCTCTAAGCGGTTTACAGAGTCAGCATATTGCCCCCCCCCACAATCTGGGTCCTCATTTTACCGACTTCGGAAGGATGGAAGGCTGAGTCAACCTTGAGCGGTTGAGAATTGAACTGCAGGCAGCTAGCAGGCAGCAAAATTAGCCTGCAGTACTGCGTTCGAACCACTGCGCCACAACAGCTCATAAATCAGCAGTTCTCAACCTATGGGTCGCGACCCCATTTGGGGTTGATCGACCATTTCACGGGGGTCGCCAAGCAAGGCTGTCCGCCATTTTTGTTTCCCTTTTCCGGCAGATGCCTTACCTCCCTTGAGCTGGGCCAGCTGGTGGTCAGCCTGCTCCGTCTCTGCCGCTTGCCAGCTACGCCTCGGCTGGCGCAGGGGGCGGAACCACGCATGCGCGGCGCTCCTGGGCAGGGAAAGTCCTCGACTTACGACCGGTTGGGTAGTCCTCGACTTACGACCGGTTTAGTCCTCGACTTACGACCGGTTTAGTCCTCAACTTATGACCGGTTGGGGTCGCGGCATTAAAAAGGTTGAGAACCACTGTCATAAATAAAGGGATTTTAAGCTTTACTATTATCTCAAGCAAAGAGATTTAAAAGCATAACATCAAAAACGTACCTACCAACAAAATGACACCTAAATCTCTGTCAGGCTGCCAAAAGGTCCTTAATGACAGCAGAGGTACGCCAGTGGTGGCCTATTTTCACAGTACCTAGTGCTAGATACCGTGCAAAAGCTACCAATTCTTAATAGCCTCTTTGTCTTTTAGTCTCTGGAAAACTTGGGAGGGTACTACATTCGTGTCCGGAACACTGAAGTGCTTCCAAATTGAGAGGATTAGCTGGTGACATCACTGTTGCCCGGCGGGGTGTATCTGTGTATGTGTGTGCCAGTTGGGAGTGTAGTTTTAAAATGTAAATTATCGCAGCCTTTTTCTTATTTTCTTCTTGTGATAACACAGGAGCATAAACATCTGGCAGTGGTTTGCTAAAAGAACTGTGGTTTAATATACAGTATGAAACAACAATATTCAGGTTGCCTACCCCTGGACTAGGTGGTTCTCCTCTTTAGTCCGTCGGAGATGAGTCTTCTCAGAATTTCACGTTCTTGCTTGTTACTTCAAGGGAACTAGAATCAGTAATCAAAGGCACTCCTTGTTACCGAAAACAGTTATTCAAAGAGGCCCTGTTTCTCTTGCTCCCATCACACCAGCCTCCCTTTTAAACTAGGTTGCCTGCTAGCGTCCCCATCCACACTTCCAGGAGCCACGAGAGTTTACGCATTTCACTTTTGCTTCAGGCTCACAGCTTTTGTGGTGAGGGTTTTGTCCCTGACTCGGATCTACCAGGAGGTGGATAGTGCCGGGATCCGGAGATCGGTGCAGTGGATTCTGGAACAGCAACAGAATGACAGTTCTTTCAGAGATTCCCACCCTGTCTATCACCGGGAGATGCAGGTGAGGTCTTCGGCCCCTGGTTTAGCTCATTTCTCAACTTCTTTTTGCAAACATACAAAAGAGACTCTTGTGCCTCAAAATTCAGCACATTTTCTCCCCCCCCCCTTTCTCTCCAGGGCGGTATGGGTGGCCTCCGTGATGGAGTCGCATTGACAGCCTTTGTCACCCTCTCGCTGAAGCAAGCCTTGCCTATATATAAAGCCAAAGAACAGGAAGAAGAGGCAGAAAGGCAGAAACAGGAACAGCTGAGCCGACTGGTATGAGGCCCCCACTGTGCTTTCCCATGTGAAAACGTTGCTATATAGGGCGTGGCATCCAGGACTCTAAAAATCTCTACTTGCCTCTTAAAAAAAAAAAAAGGAAATAAAGTTACCAGTCCTCATGAGTGTTCCAGCCAGCGGGCAGTTTGCATGCGCTGCTAAAGCGTCAGTGGAATTACAGGTAGTCCTCGACCACAACGGAGTCCAAAATTTCTGTTGCTAAGCGAGGCGTTTCTTAAGTGAATTTTGCCTTATTTTATGACCTTTCTTGACCACGGGGATGCTGCAACAGTCGTAAGTGTGAAAAACAGTCATAAGCAGAGCTTTTTTTCCCTCATAGAACACCCAGAACGGAGTTCCTGCACCTTTTTTGGATGGAACCTTGTAGGGTAGGCAAGGCGGGTTGTATGACATGTGTGAGTTCCGGCACCTTTATTTTTACAAAAAAAACACTGGTCATAAGTCACTTTTTTCAGTGCTGCTGTAACTTTGAACGGTCACTAAACGAACTGTTGTAAGTCAAGGACTACTTGTCCGTACTTTATGCAGGAGAGCTTGGTACAGTAAAATGATTAACTCTTAGACGACCCTGGTTTAAATCTTATTAAATAAAGTATCTTTTGCTGATCCCTCTCCTATATGGAAAAATTGGCACTGGAGACTCCGTTCCCAAATAAACCTCATTTCTCAGATATGTTCTCTTTGATGGGGGAACTCCAGTCTTTTTATATGCACACTAGAAGAAACCTGCCCCGTGTAACCCATTACAAATATTGCTCCCTTTTATTAATTTTTTTTTGAATGGTTGGGTTTTTTTTTTAACCAGCCTGCTAGAAAGCCCACATTTCTTTGCACACTTGCTAAGCTTATTTGTGTAACTTTCCATGATATACACACTGAGCTTTTTTAACGTATCCATTTCCCTTATGTTTTTTTTTATTTTTTGGTACAATGAGAAAACGCTCACTTCTTTTGTTTAAACCAGGGGTCTCCAAACTTGGCAGAATTCCCAGAATTCAACTGGAATTCAGCATGGCTGGCTGGGAAATTCTGGGAGTTGAAGTCCACAAGTCTTACAGTTGCCAAGTTTAGAGACCCCTGGTTTAAATTTCCAGATATGCTTCACCCCAAAGATGTACACCATTTCTCCAAATACAATGCATTAATCTTTTCTGGTGAGATTTTTTTTTTCTTTTTTGCCAAAGAACGATGAACACTCGCATGCCCTGGCTTAACATTTCCAGCACTGCCATAGCACAATCTGTGTTAGTGAATTGTGTCAGTTCCCTTTCACAAGTGCTCCACTGCCCCCACACTCTATTTTTCCCATTTCTGTGGAGGAATTCTCTTTCTCTACAGCGGTGTTTCTGAACCTCAGCAATATTAAGATGTGTGGACTTCAAATCCCAGAATTCCTCAGCGAGCATTCTGGATTCATCATCCATCAAGTCTATGCTGCCTGGGAATTCTGGGAGCTGAGGTCCACACATCTTAAAGTTGCTGAGCTTCAGAAAAACTGCTCCACAGATCAACAACAAGAAATACTGTACAGGTAGTCCTGGACTTATGGCCACAATTGAGCTCAACATTTATCTTGTTAAGCAAGACGTTTGTTAAGTGGCCTTTGCCCCATTTTACGACCTTTCTCGCCACAGTTGTAACTATGAACCAGTTGCCAAGCATCTGAACGTTGATCACGTGACCATGGGGATGCTGCAATGGTTGTAGTGCGGAAAATGGTCAAATCAGAGCTATTGTAACTTTTGACAGCCACTAAACGAATCGTTGTAAGTCGAGGACTACCTGTAATGTGTAATAATAAACCTGGGATAACCCAAAGGCCACAAGACATGAGTTGGAGCCCCCTAACCAGCTCCAATGTAATTTTCTTCTCTTCCAGAAAAATAGCTTGGAACTCGCAACGGAGTATCTTGCCAGATCCCTGGATGATCAGTCTCAGGGGCCATACCCTGTGGCCATCAGCAGCTACGCCCTCGCTCTCTCTTCTAAGGACAAATCCGCCATTGCACGTGCTGGGAGCCGCCTACTGGAGCTTTCCTCAGAAGATAAAAGTATTGTCACTCTTTCTTCTGAAATATCCGGAATTGTGTGTGTGTGTGTGTGTGTGTGTGTGCATTGTGGGAAGCTCTATATCAAAATACATTTTATTCTTTACACTCTTTCCATCTTCCCTTAAAACAGCGGTTCTCAACCTGTGGGTCGCGACCCTTTGGGGGTCGAACGACTTTTCACAGGGGTCGCCTAAGACCATTGGAAAACACATATTTCCAATGGTCTTAGGAACCGAGACACCGCTCCTCTATCCGTCTCCGCACGGCTTCGAGCTGGGGGCCGTTGCAGCGCCGGATTCGTTTCTGTCGAGCATCTCCTAAGGGAGGCTTCGCTGCTTCGCGGCCCTTTCCGCGGAGGAGGCTGAACTGAGCTCTGCCGGTGCTGTCGCCCTCTTGGCTCTCTCTCTCTCTCTCTCTCTCTCCCTCTCCCCACCTGGGCGCTTCTCCAACCAGGCTGGGCGGAGCGGCCTTCCTGCCCCCCTCCCCAGCCAGCTGGAGCCGGGCAGGCCGGCGACCTTCGGAAGTGAGACGAGGACAGGCGAGGTACGCCGAGCCCCGGGCGCGGCGGGTGAGTGGGCGGCATCAGTCCGCGCTTGGAGAGCCCTTAGGGTTGGGGGTCACCACAACATGAGGAACTGTATTAAAGGGTCGCGGCATTAGGAAGGTTGAGAACCACTGCCTTAAAACATTAACAGAATCCATAATGTTCTGAGAATCAGCGTCTCCACTAGATAATTGACAGTCAAGCTGAAACTAAATTAATCAAGTAAAAAATAGCAAACGGGAAAGAAAAAAACTTTTACTTCCTCAAACCCCCAATAAGTTACCCAGACCTAATCCACATATCAAAGGATACGGTCTGCAAACACAAATGGAGTTAAATGTCTATGGAGATTCTCAGTCATCCAGGTCAAGGTGCTTTTTTTCACGAGGCAACTGGACTTTCTTGTTTTTCTTTGAAGATGTTTCGCTTCTCACCCAAGAAGCTTCTTCAGCTCTGACTGGATGGTAGGGAATGGGAGGATTTTGTTACTAGCTGAACAGCTGCAGTGATTCATTTAACAACTGTGGCAAGAAAGGGTGTAAAATGGGGCAAAATTCACTTAACAAGTGTCTCCTTTAGCAATGGAAAATTTGGGCTCACTGGTGGTCAAATCAAAGACTGCCTGTATTAGATACGTTCACCACCTTGAATTACAGTATTTGTAAAAATAATAATGTGTATAATACATATACACATACTGTACACATACACATACACATTAGGGGACTGGAGGCTAAAACATACAAAGAACAGTTGCTGAAACTAGGTAGTTTAATGAAGAGAAGGACGAGGGGGGACATAATAGCAGTGTTCCAGTATCTCACGGGCTGCCACAAAGAAGAGGGAGTCAAGCTATTCTCCAAAGCACCTGAAGGCAGGACAAGGAGCAACAGATGGAAACTAATCAAAGAGAGAAGCAACCTAGAACTAAGGAGAAATTTCCTGACAGTTAGAACAATCAACCAGTGGAGCAGTTATGAATGCTCCAACACTGGAAGTTTTTAAGAAGAGACTGGTCAGCCATTTGCCTGAAATGGTATAGGGTTTCCTGCCTGAGCAGGGGGTTGGACTAGAAGACCTCCAAGGTCCCTTCCAACTCTGTTATTCTATTCTATTCTATTCTATTCTAATAGTAATAATAATAATAATAATAATAATAATAATAATAATAATAATAATAATAATAATAATAATAATAATAATAATAATAATAATAATAAAGTTGGAAGGGACCTTGGAGGTTATCTAGTCCAACCCCCTGCTCAGGCAGGAAACACTATACCATTTCAGACAAATGGCTGTCCAGTTTCTTCTTAAAAACTTTCAGTGTTGGAGCATTCACCGCTTCTGGAGGCAGGTTGTTCCACTGGTTACTTTTTCTAACTGTCAGGAAGTTTCTCCTTAGTTCTAGGTTGCTTCTCTCCTTGATCAGTTTCCATCCTATGCTTCTTGTCCTGCCTTCAGGCGCTTTGGAGAATAGCTTGACTCCCTCTTCTTTGTGGCAGCCCCTGAGATATTGGAACACTGCTATCATGTCCCCCCTCGTCCTTCTCTTCATTAAACTAGACATACCCAATTCCAGCAACCGTTTCTTATATGTTTTAGCCTCCAGACCTAATTCTATTCTAATCTAATTTTATTCCATTCTAATTCTAATTCTAATTCTAATTCTAATTCTAATTCTAATTCTAATTCTAATTCTAATTCTAATTCTAATTCTATTCTATTCTATACATATACATGTACCTATACCTATATATAGGTCTAACTTCCCTCAATTCCTGCAGAGACTCTGAGGCAAATCAGATGCCCCACCATGACTGATTTTCTGCCCTCAATTCCCTGCTGACCATTGACAATCACACGGACATATTTTCACTTGGACGATCGAACCTCAACATGGCCTTCTGGGTCTCTTGATCATGCATTCATCCACTGTTGTAACCCAGTTTATCCCTCTTTCCGCGTTCACCCCGTCTTCTCTTTCTTTCCACTTTTCCCAGCAACAGGGGCTTCCCAAGGGAGTTAAGTCTTTTGCGTGATGTGTCCAAAATAGGTTGCAGGTAGTAGTCCTCGACTTACAACAGTTCATTTAGTGATCCTTCAAAGTTACAACAGCACTGACAAAAGTAACTTACGACCGTTTTTCACATGACCCCGTTGCAGCATCCCTGTGGTCATGCGATCAGAATTTGGACGTTTGGCAACTGGTTCCTATTTATGACGGTTGCAATGTCCGGGGGGGGGTGTCATGTGATCTCCTTTTGCGACCTTCTGACAAGCACAGTCAACGAGGAAGCCAGATTCACTGAACAGTCGCGATACTGACTTAACAGCTGCAACGATTCACTTAACAACTGTGGCAAGAAAGGTCGTAAAGTGGGGCAAAACTCACTTAACAAATGTCTCATTTAGGTAACAGAAATGTTTGGGCTCCATTGTGGTTGTAAGTCGAGCACTACCTGTAATTTGAGCCTGGTTACAGTATTTGTGTTTCAAGTGAGAACCTCTGGATGGATTTGTTCTGTGAACCATTGGATTGTTTAATACCTGTAAGAAATGAATGAATGAATCAATGAATCAATCAATCAATGAATCAATCAATGAATCAATCAATCAATCAATCAATCAATCAATCAAAAATTCCTATAAGCATCTCTTCTGCTTTGGCCTTAAATTCTGTTCTCTCATTCTTGGCTTTCCAGACAGCACCATGATATATTGGTTAGCGGACCGTCAGACAACGGTGCCTTCAGCTATCTCAGTGGAGGCCACAAGCTATGCCCTTCTCTACTTCTTGAAGCAAAATGATTCTGTAACAGCGAGCAAGATAGCTCAGTGGCTGACTGAGCAGAGGAACTACGGAGGAGGATTCAAATCAACACAGGTACTGGCTGGTGTGACCCAACCCTTGCTCATCAGAAAAGGAGCAGTGAAAATGCAACAACAGCCAAAAAAGCCAATGTAATCTTAAGCTGCATTAATAGAAGGATAGAAACAAGATCACGTGAAGTTCTAGTACCACTCCATAAACCTTAAGTAAGACCACACATGGAATAGTGTATCCAGTTCTGGTCATCACAATATAATAATAATAATAATAATAATAATAATAATAATAATAATAGTAGTAGTAGTAGTAGTAGTAGTAGTAGTAGTAGTAGTAGTAATAGTAATAATAATACAGTATTTAATAATAATAATAAAATTGGAAGGGACCTTCTAGTCCAACCCATCTAGTCCAACCCCCTGCTCAGGCAGGAAACCCTACACCATTTCAGACAAATGGCTGTCCAGTCTCTTCTTAAAAACTTCCAGTGTTGGAGCATTCACTGCTTCTGGAGGCAGGTTGTTCCACTGGTTAATTGTTCTAACTGTCAGGAAGTTTCTCCTTAGTTCTAAGTTGCTTCTCTCTTTGGTTAGTTTCCACCCGTTGCTTCTTGTCCTGCCTTCAGGCGCTTTGGAGAATAGCCTGACTCCCTCTTCTTTGTGGCAGCCCCTGAGATATTGGAACACTGCTATCATGTCCCCCCTCGTCCTTCTCTTCATTAAACTAGACATACCCAATTCCAGCAACCGTTACTTATATGTTTTAGTCTCCAGTCCCCTGATCATCTTTGTTGCTCTTCTCTGTACTCTTTCTAGAGTCTCAACATCTTTTTTACATCGTGGTGATGTATAAAAGGAATGTTGAGACTCTGGAAAGAGTGCAAAGAAGATCAACAAAGGTGATTAGGAGGCTGAAGACTAAAACATACGAAGAACGGTTGCAGGAATTGGGTATGTCCAGTCTAGGGAAAAGAAGGACACAGGCATGATAAAAGTGTTCCAATATTTGAGGGGCTGCCATAAAGAAAAAGGGATCAAATTATTTTCCAAAGCACCAAAAAAAGCAAGATAAGAAACAATGGTTGGAAACTAACCAAGGAGAGAAGCAATGTAGAACTAAGGAGAAAATTCCTGATGATGAGAGCAATCAACCAATGAAATAGCTTGCCTCCAGAAGTTGTGGTTGCTCCATTACTGAAGGCTTTCAAAAAGAGACTGGACAATTGCAGAGTGCGTGGTTTTGTGTGCTGCCTGCATCCCACAAATGGGACTTTCTTGTTTGTGTGGTCCAGTGGCTGGCATGCCACAACCCAGTACCAGTCCACGGACTGGGGGTTGGGAACCCCTGCTATAAGGGTTGTAAGCGTGAGGATTGATTATAACTCACTTTTTTTCAATGCCCTTAGTCTAGTTGCAATTTTGAACGGTAGCTAAACAAATGGTTGTAAGTCGAGGACTACGTGCTCAAGAATTTATGAGAGAGCGTTAACCAGCATTGAGCCCAACTTTTCTATGGCTAAAGGTGTTTTTTTAAGCAGGTTTTGCCCTATTTGCCCCCAAATGAATCTCACCTGAAACCCAAATACTGTAACCAGGCTCAAATTACGGGTAGTGACTGGCTTACAATCACAATTGAGCCAAAATTTATGTTGATAAATGAAACATTTGTTAAGCGAGCTTTTCCCCCTTTTACGACCTTTCTTGTCACCGTTGTTAAGTGAATCATTGCAGTTATTAAGTTTAGCAACATGGTTTTGAAGTGAATCTGGCTATCCCATTGATTTTGCTCGTCAGAAAGTCATAAAACGGGATCACGTGACCCCGGGACACTGCAGCCGTCGTAAATATGAGTCGGTTGCCAAGCGTCCGAAGTTTGATCGCGTGACCCATGCGGATGCTGCAAACAGTCATAATTGTGAGGGGAAAATCGCTTTTTTTCAGGGCCCTGGTAATTTCAAACTGTCCCTAAATGAATTGTTGTTAAGTCGAGGACTACCTGTACAGAGAAAACAGCACACAAAAGAGACATGGATGATTTAAAAGAACTGTGGATTTTGGTGGGTCAGTGAATACATACAAATCTTCAGGAATTTGTAGAACAAATACAAAAAGGGAGATACAGTGAACACAGGCCTCACAAAATATGGTGACCTAGAGCAGGGGTCCCCAACCTTGGCAACTTTAAGACTTGTGGACTTCAACTCCCAGAATGCCTCAGCCAGCAAAGCTGGCTGAGGCATTCTGGGAGTTGAAGTCCACAAGTCTTAAAGTTGCCAAGGTTGGGGACCCCTGACCTAGAAAGTGAACGATAGGCAAATTGTGTATTTTCTATGTGGGTTCTCCTAAAAGGTGCCAGAGTACTGATTTTTGTGGTGGCTTCTCTTCCCAGGACACAGTGGTGGCTTTGGAAGCCCTTTCCATCTACTGGATCAGCACCTTCACGGAAGAAGGGAATGAACTAACAGTATCTCTTTCTGTCCCTGGGAAACACTTGCCTATTCACATTTACTTCGGAAGATCCAATGATCCGATCCAGGAAGAGCTTCAGGTATTCACGTTGAGATGGCTGTTTACGTGATGAGGAGTGGAACGTGCAGATGGGTATAAACCCATCCAGCCAACTTTGACAAACCCCGATTTAAATAATACTGATAGCAGCACTCAAAATGGCTGATGTTGCAATATTTTTTGTGTGTGTAAAAAAAGGAGAGACATGTTTTGCCATTAGGTTTCAAACTGTCCTTTGTATTTATGAGCTTGCAAGGAAATTTATATGTACAGCATATGATTTTTGTTGAAGAGTTAGGCCAGGGGTAGGCAACCTTGGCTCTTTTATGACTCGTGGACTCCAACTCCCAGAATTCCTGAGCCAGCCATGCTGAGGGGAAAGGGAGAGGTTTCCAAGTTGAGCCATGCTGGCTCAGGAATTCTGGGAGTTGAAGTCCACGAGTCATAAAAGAGCCAAGGTTGCCTACCCCTGTTTTAGGCTATTCTTTTTTTAATGACAACACTATTTTTGTTGTTATTTTGCAACCTAATTCTGAGGGTTTTTTTCCCCTTCAGTTTTCTTTGGGAAAAGACATCGACGTAAAAGTGAAAGGGAAAGGGAAAGGAACTTTGACGGTAAGTAATTTCATACTACTATTATGCATTGAATGATGTGTTGAATGATGACTACTACGGTTTTTACCATGATTACAGAGTGACATAATGGCTTTTTTCTCTTCGCCTCATAGCGGGGCTGAAAAATAGGTAGTTCATTCATTTATTGACCATTTGAAGTTACAATGGCACTGAAAAAAAAGTGACTTATGATCGGTCCTCACACTTACGACTGGTCACACGATCAAAATTCTGGCACAGCAGAAGTGGATAGATTGACCTTAAGAGATTAAAAGAGAAAGAAGATTCAGTTTACTTTAGAACATGGGATAATTTTTACCAATGGTTAGGAAAACGAACTAGTGAGAAATGAATGTGATATGTTATTTTGAATATATATTAATAAGAAGAATGATATGAATTAATTAACTGATACTGTTTATGATTATTGTTTATTACACTTATTAAGTTACTTATTCATAATAGTAATAATAATAGTAAAGTTGGAAAGGACCTTGGAGGTCATCTAGTCCAACCCCCTGCTCAGGCAGGAAACCCTATACCATTTTGGACAAATGGCTTTACAATATCAACTATTGTTAACTGAACATATGTACCCAAGACAATAATCTGTTTGCTAAAGATTGAAAATGTTATTGGGGGATAACCCCAATGTGGACCCCAACCCCCTTCCCCCAACACGAATCCTGATCCCAACCTCACCCTAAACCTTAATCCTTATCCCGACCCTATTCTATCCCCAACCCTATAAAGCTCAATAAAATTCTCTATTAAAAATAAAATTTCAGCACAGCAAATGCAACCACGTGTATTTATGACGGTTGCAATGTCCCAGAGTCATGTGATCGACATTAGCGAATTTCCCAGCTGGCGTCCAACAAGGAAAGAATGTGGGAATCCGGATTTGTTATCAGCTGTGTAATTCACTGAACAATTGCAGGGATTTCCTTAACAAGAAAGGTCGTAAATGACCCACTCAGTAACCGCCTCGCTTAGCAATGGAAATTTTGATCCCAATTGCTTTTGTAAGTCGAGGACCATCTGTAGCGATGAGACAGGCGGTGTGTTTGGGCAAAGCACAACAGGGGAGCTTGGTGATGCTAACAATTAATTGGGGAGTCACAGGTGATTTAGTTTTTTTTTCTGAAATCCATCAACCTCCTGTCCCTTTTAAAAAAATGAAAAAGAGGATTCTATGTGTAACCATCAAGTTCATTTGCTAAACCTTAGTCCCAAGATAGTTCAGGGCAAAGAAAGCTTCTGTTTTACAAATGAGTTGTTTATAGCTTGTACTTAATAAAGAGGATGCAAGCAAATGAACGGCATGCAACATGGTTTGTTTTGAGCTAACACACCTGGCTTAGCTGAGTCCTCAGTCAAATTCCCTTTACTGGGAAGATACTTTCTTCCCACAGTGGAGATGGAAATAGAAAGTCTGTGTTCAAAACAAGAGGCTCAGACAGTTGGGGATTTGAAAATAATAATAATAATAATAATAATAATAATAATAATAATAATAATAATAATAATAATAATAATAATAATAATAATATGAGGATGAGGATGTTGGAAGGGATCTTGGAGGTCATCTAGTCCAACCCCCTGCTCAGGCAGGAAACCCTATACCATTACAGACAAATAGCTGTCCAGTCTCTTCTTAAAGACTTCCAGTGTTGGAGCATTCACAGCTTCTGGTGGCAGGTTGTTCCACTGGTTAATTGTTCTAATTGTAGAAGAATTAAATGGTCTTTCCAAAGGTACTTTTTCAAAAGACAACTGGACTTTGTTTTTCCTTGAAGACATTTTGCTTCTCAACCAAAGAAGCTTCTTCAACTCTGACTGAACGGTGGAGGATGGAAGGATTTGTATTCCTTGCAATCATCTGGTCGTTAGCGCTCTTTCTGAGAGTTGCTGAGGCCACTTGGAGGTTCATCTCTGCCCCCATGAGGGACATAAATCCTTCCATCCTCCACCGTTCAGTCAGAACTGAAGAAGCTTCTTTGATTGAGAAGAGAATCCGTCTTCAAAGGAAAACAAAGTCCAGTTGCCTTTTGATAAAGCACCTTTGGGACAACCATGATCAGGATAACTGAGAATCTCCACACACAATTAAATGGTCTACAATTACCGCTGGCTCTTTTTGATTGGCTGAAACTGAATCCAGGGCAAGGCAGAAAGAGAGATAGTTAAGGAGTAAGAATCCAACTGCTAAGAATGATACTTCAGCTTCTAGGTCTCCTTTAACTTCGATTCTACCAAATAATTTTTTTCCTCAGAGTAATGGGAAAGTCTGCGCCTGTGGCACTTCTGCTGGATGTGCATCTTATGAGGATGGAAGGGTTCTTAATAGGTGGGAATCAGCAACTGGGGGGAGAGCAGAAGGGATGTTTCCATCCCTTGATGAGACTAATGTTTTGTTTCCCTGCATTTTGGATGCCTCTCCAGTCTTACACCAGTCAAAGTTACAAATGGTGCCACCAGGGCTAGGCTTTGAAGGAGATGTCCACAGCTCCTGCTCAGCAGGGAACTTAAACATCAGGAAGCTGGTGGGCCACAGCTGGAAACATCGATGCATGACCAGCTAAGGAGGCAGTGGGATTAATACAGTATATGTGGGCCTCTTTTGGAATAACTAAAACCATAGGTAGTTTCTCCGTCCTTCTAGCACAGATATGTCAAACACAAGGCCCGGGGACCGGATGCGGTCCGCGAAGTGGTTTCATGTGGCCCGTGAAGCCATCCTGGAAACAGTGAGGGAACGGCCCCCGCTACCTTGGCCCTGGCCCAGGCCGGCCGGGAGCCAATGTACAATTTTGTGGTGGCCATCTATGCTGAAACGGATTCAGTCTTAGCTCCACAAGGCCATCTGGAAACAGCGAGGAACCAGCCCCTGCCGTGTCGGCCCTGCCCCCTGGGTATATGCTGGGGAGGTGTCGCCCTTTGTGAGGAATGAAGAAATGGACCGTGCCTTGGCGCTTGCCCCGGTCCCACCCCCTTCTGCCAGAGACCCTCAGATCTGTCCCACTCCTGCCCAGGACCCCATAGGCCCCCTTGATGCGAACGATGTAGAGCTGGCCATGCCCACCCAGTAGGCCACACACACTCCATCCATACCCACCCAGTAGGCCGCACCCACCCTGGCCACACCCACCCAGCCCCCCTGAAGGCAACCGCAATGCTGATGCGGCCCTCAATAAAATTGAGTTTGACGCCCCTGTTCTAGCACAGTGCTTCTCAACTCGGCTGGGGAATTCTGGGAGTTGAAGTCCACCCATCTTAAAGTTGCCCAGGTTGAAAAAACATTGTTCTGGCACTACTTAACGGCATCACTCAGGAGAGGGAAAGCTTATCTTCTCTTCTTTATCCTCTGTAGGTTCTCAAGCAGTTTCATGTTTTGGCTGTCCAGAACACCACCTGTCAAACCCTTGGGCTAGAAGTGACCGTGAGCGGCTCTGTTCGGCGAAATTGTACGTCAGGGATTGGGGACTGTGGGCTTTTTTGATAATTGATTGGTGGGGTTTTTTAAAGAAGAGATTGGACAGTCAATTTTCTGGATTGGTATAGGGTCTCCTGCTTGTGCAGGGGTGGAGGAGAGAACCTACAAAGTCCCTTCCAACTCTGTTATTCTGCTATCTTCTAGTCCAAGCAGGGGACCTTATATCATTTCAGCTGTCCAATCTCTTCTTTAAAACCTCCAGGGATGGAGCACCCACAACTTCTGAAGGCAAGCTGTTCCAATGGTTAATTGTTCTAATTGTCAGGAAATTTCGTCTTAGTTCTAGGTTGCTTCTCTCCCTGATTAGTTTCCATCCGCTACTTCTTGTCCTTCCTTCAGGGGCTTTGGAGAATAGCTTGACTCCCTCTTCTTTGTGGCAGCCCTTTAGATATTGGAAGACTGCTATCATGTCCCCCCTTGTCCTTCTCTTCATTAAACTAGACGGATCCAGTTCTCCTGCAACTGTTCTTCATATTTGGTGTGCCCCTGCGAAAGCCAATATGTTCCATACTTCGCAACGCCAATGGCCTGTGCTCTGTGTAAAAGCCTTGTTAACATTTGCCTCTGTTTTCTTACCACAGCTGAAGTGGATGATTACTATTATGAATATGAAGATGATCTTCTGCCCACATCACAACCCGGTAGCCAGCCATTGTCACGGATTGAATTATTTGACGCCCGGCAGCGCCGAAAGAGGGAGACCAAAAGCACTGAAGAGTCAAAACATGATGTCACCTATGAGGTCTGCTTCTGGTAAGTTGTTGTTGTTAGAATTGTTAAGAGTGGGCTTGCAATAAGCAATGGGCTATTTGACAGGTTTATTTTAATTTTAATAATTTTAATAATTTTAATAATTTTAATAATTTTAATAATTTTAATAATTTTAATAATTTTAATAATAATAATAATAATAATAATAATAATAATAATAATAATAATAATAATAATAATAATAATAATAATAATAATAATAATAGTAAAATTGGAAGGGACCTTGGAGGTCATCTAGTTCAACCCCCTGCTCAGGCAGGAAACCCTATACCATTTAATAATAATAATAATAATAATAATAGTAAAGTTGGAAGGGACCTTGAAGGTCATCTAGTCCAACCCCCTGCTCAGGCAGGAAACCCTATACCATTTCGGACAAATGACTGTCCAGTCTCTTCTTAAAAACCTCCAGTGTTGGAGCATTCACTGCTTCTGGAGGCAGGTTGTTCCACTGGTTAATTGTTCCAACTGTCAGGAAGTTTCTCCTTAGTCCTAGGTTGCTTCTCTCTTTGGTTAGTTTCCACCCGTTGCTTCTTGTCCTGCCTTCTGGTGCTTTGGAAAATTTTAATTTTAATTTATTTAGACAGGTTTGATTTTTATTTATTTGCTTGTTTATTATTTATTTATTCTGAGAGGTTTATTTATTTACTTGTTTCTTTCCCACTTTGTTATTTTTTTTACAAATAGAGGTGGTCCTCGACTTACAACAGTTCATTTAGCGACCGTTCAAAATGACAACATCCCTGAAAAAAAATAGTGACTTATGACTGTTTTTCACACTTACAACCATTGTAGCATCCCCGTGACCATGTGATCAAAAATTCAGATATTGGCCCTTGACTCATATTTATGACGTTTATGACATGCAGTATCCTGGGGGGAGGGAATCACGTGATCCTCTTTTGCGACCTTCTGACAAGCAAAGTCAGTGGGGGAAGTCAGATTCACTTTGCAACCGAGTGACTAACTTAACAACAGCAGCGATTCACTTACTATCCTGCAGCAAGAAAGCTCGTAAAATGGGGCAAAACTCCCTTAACAAATATCTCACTTAGCGACAGAAATGTTGGGCTCAATTTTGGTTGTAAGTCAAGGACTACCTGTATTTGTAATATCTGGGCCTCCTAGACGGCTGTGTAGATGTTTTAAGTAAATAAATTTAAATAAAATAAAGAAATTTTAACTCGAAAGTAAGGCCCTACATTTAGACAAGAAAAACCAAATGCACAGGTACAGTATGGGTGGGACCCGGTTCAGTAGTAGCAACTGTGAGACGGATCTCGGAGTCCTAGTGGACAATCACTTAAATATGAGCCAGCCGTGTGCTGCAGCTGCCAAAAAAGCCAACGCAAGGAGAGAAGCAACCTAGAACTAAGGAGAAACTTCCTGACAGTCAGAACAATTAAGCAGTGGAACAACCTGCCTCCAGAAGCGGTGAATGCTCCAACACTGAACGTTTTTAAGAAGAGACTGGACAGCCATTTGTCTGAAATGGTATAGGGCAGAGGTCTCCAGATTTGGCAACTTTAAGACTTATGGACTTCAACTCCCAGACAGTTCTGGGAGTTGAAGTCCATAAGTCTTAAAAGTTGTCAAGTTTGAAGACCACTGTGGTATAGGGCAGTGGTGATGAACCTATGGCACTGGTGCCAGAGGCGGCACTCGGAGCTTCTCTGTGGACACACGTGCCATTGCTCCAGCCTTGCCTCCCCCTGTGACCCCCTCACCAGCAGCCCCCCTAGAGGAGCATCACCCCCAAGCGTGGCCCACGCGGAGCAACGCAGCCAAGGACATGGCAGCCAGGCAGCATAGACCAGACTCTGCCCTCATGCCCCATCGCACACAGTTGATGCTGCAGGG